TACAAGACAATTCCTTCTTCTTGATCAAACATTGATCACTAAAATAAATTTGGAAAAATAATTATTTGTCATTTCAAAATTTTGAACCAATTATTGGTCTAAACATGTCATAAGCTGAACCATTAAATAAGGTATTGATTGACCAAGAAAATAATAGTGATTTGAAACAAATATTGAAAATAATGTTAAACAAAAATAAAAATAATAAAAAGAAATGACCTGCCACAAGAATTAAAATAAAAATAAATAAAAGGTCAGGTCAACAAAATATAAAACACATGAGATCAGGATATTGTTATGATATTACTTTGTCTGAGAAACTGTTTAGAGAAACCTAATAAAACCATACTTAGGAAAATAAATCCACAAKATTTTCCACCCCATTCAGGAAAGTTTTTTTTCTTTTAATCCACCCCAACAAAAAAATGAAAAACCCCAACAGTTTAAAAGAATGAAGTATTCAAGAAAATTATGCTGCGATAATAAGTCAAACTGATGAAAATTCACTTAAAAACAAACAGATTAAAAATAAATTAAAACAGAAATTTGTTTTGAAATTCGGTCAAAATAAAAACATTTGAGGGAACAGATTGCCAGATTGGAGTCTGTCTTTGATGCTGGCAGGATCAGATGTAGGGCTTTGCCCCCCACCGGCCCAGTCATAATGAATAGCTGACCAGAGGGCAAGAGACCAGCATCACATGCAGGGCAAGGCGCTTGTGCTAGACTTGATTAAGATCACTAGACTGAGCCCCGCCCATACCGTCCACTGGTAACGTCTGTGACAGCATGGAGGAGCAGAAATGGCGTCCAAAAAGGGCAACAGCTCACAGCCTCCATAGAAACTAATAGATAAACAACAAGCTGAACCGGATCTGTTTCACAGATTATCGGTCATGTTTTTACAATAAATTAATAACTGTGGAAATCCTTATTTTACCTAGACAGAAACACGAGATCCAAGAATAAAAGGTACTCCGTGAAATGGTCAATCAGGATTTATTTGCAATTGCAGACACACATCATGTCACACAGAGCAGTGATACACATTGGGCCTCATGCAAGAACGTGTTCGTATTCTTCTCCTAAATTTCTCTTACTTTTGTTCGTACAAAGGGTTCGTACGAACATGTCACGTCAGATTCAACAAACTCTTCTATCTTCAGGAAAAGTGCGTAAATTCCACCTGTTCTATTTAGCTGCTCGTGCACGCGAGAGGAGATTAACATAATTACCACCCCCAAAAACACCGTATAAAGTTGTGTTTCCTGCCTCAGATACAATGAAGTGCTCATTCATTCATTAAAAAGACAGCGAAAATAAAAACTTTACGAGTTCAGAGATTGAAGTCCGTCTGTCAGAGATCCAGAAAAGAAAATCTGTCATTTTTAGC